AGTGGTCCCTATCCGCTGTGCCAGTAAACCCTTGCGCCAGATAGGGACTGCTTTGCTGTGGATGCATCACGAGGGTATATTATAACTTGTACTAATAAAGTATGATTGTGAGCTAGCTCAGTTTAATGGCTGAAGTTGATATGTAAGGAAACCCTGGAATATCATTTCATAACAATAACTGGTTCTGACGAAAGTATAAATCAGTAAAATGAATGTATTTAAGGCACGTACAGCTGTGCAGAAAGCACTGCAAGACGAGAAAACGTTGACGACGGTTTCAAATATTGCTAAGGCCTATGAAAAGCACCAACAACAGCAGCATCAGCAGCAGCAAAAAGATCTGATTAATTTAAGTAGTTCAGCTGAGGATATTCATGGAAGAGCTTCCGGAAGTAGCGCAAGCAAGTGGCCACAGCAACAGCTCTACCCACCACTTCCTTCATCTCGAGATTATGCACCACCACCTTCAACGGATTTCAAGAAAAGCAACAATTTTGCAGCTATTCACGACCAGCTAGCTTCTCTGAATTTGTATCAACCTGATTCAGGTTTCTCCGCTTTTATCTCTGTATTTTTTTCTGGTGGGAGGGTTAGGTTGTTGGGGCTTTTCCACTTTTATCATAATCGTTAGGGTATTGATGTATCGTCACCGGGAGTATCTTCCATGATCTTTGATCCCTTAGCTTACTTTCTCAATCTGTTCATGAAAAAAGACACCCATTCAAACTTATAATATTTTAGTGAAGAAGGCGACACTTCGACCACAATCACATCACAGTGCAGCTCTGGAGACGCCTAGTTCTGGAACATTGCAGGAAGAATTACCGCATGGAAATGCTATATACAGATTCCAGGCATCAAATTTTGATGAGCTTTCGATCGAGCCAGGCGATGTGATCGTCTTGGAAAAGAAGGTCGATGAAGTTTCATAGCTTTTTGATTAATAGTATAGAATGGTGCGATTTGAGTGCATCTGATCAGCAAAACCAGCTTCCTCCTTGGTTCCTTCACTTGATGGATACATAGATTTTCATCATTCTTGTTCCAGGCAGTTTTTGGGGGAATGCTGACAGGAACCTTCCCTCCCCTTCCCGTTTCGCCCCCGAGCGACACAGGCATCAGTGCTGCAAAAGCCGGGATCTGAAGCTAAAAATAAATTAAAGCCTAAAGTAATTCGTAACTAAAGTGACTTTAAGTAGCAGTGTCACAACTATATATTTCTAGTTTTTGCATAGTTCCAAGGTAGGAGGGCATTCTCCACCTCCTCCCTCCCTCCTTTCCCCGCCCCCATTCCCTCGCCCAGGAATCCGTCCTGGATCCGCCCATGGTCAGCAAGGATCCATCTGCTTTTATTGCACATTGTCCATCCTTTTCTCGTGAACCACGGAAAGAGAGGTTGATGCCAAGGGGGAAA